GGGCAGCAGCACTGGGGTAGGGAGGAGCTATGGACGGGGTGCTACAGACACCCCAGAATTTAAACAGCCCACCTGGAGCCCTACCTCACAGTGTTGCCACTGTCTGCTCCGAGCACAGCCCTGGCCCAGCTCCTGTCCCCTCCCCCCGCCAGGAAGAGCCTGGCGCTACCCTTGGCCTCAGCCTGCAGCAGCAGCCCACCCTCACCTTGCACACAGATCCAGGGAGCACATGCCCCCCAACGCTCCCCTGGGAATACATGCAACAGCAAGATCTGTCCCTCCCACCGTGCACCCCTGGATAAGTCGCTCATGTCTCCATCCCACACTCCACCCTGGCTGTGCAGCACCTGCCCCAGCCCCAGCTCCACTCCCTCACTGCATGGGACTCAATTTGTACCCCCATGCTCATTCCCTGTTTCCACCTCTTCCCCCTCCCTCAACAGACTTACCAGCTGGACACTGCTCTCCAAGCTGCCAGGCTGGCCACATGCATGCTGTGGCTGTGCACATGCACATGGCATTTAATCCGTAATGTTAAATCAGCCACATCAGCTAAAAAAAGCCGATTGCTGATAATGTCAATTTTCCTTTTATCAGTGCCAATATGATATGGACTAATGCATTGGTGCACCTCTACCTGTAAGCCCTACCAATAACATGTTTCATATTTTCTAGTACAAATTCCAGTAGACATTTCTATTTGTATTATGGAATAGTAAGTTAAAATGTTTCTGGGTTTTACAAATATTTTACAATACAGAAGACTAAAATATTTTAATGGCACTATTTTATTATTTACTTTGTATATTTAGAATTTAATTTCTAGCTCTCTTTTATCATTCTATAATGATTAACAACAAACTGGTTACATTTTTGATGCAACACAGGATTTTTTAAGGATTCACTGTTGGCTTAAATACACTATCTAAAAAATTCTGTTTAACATCCTTTATACCAGATATTATACTTACGTCACTTTACAATAATTATAAGGAAAAAAATGGATTAGTGGGCAGAGTGTAATGCACAAGAGTTAGTCACTGCGGGCATATGGCTTTACCAAACAAGCAGAAGGTACTTACAAGTTCATTTAGTAAACTACAACACATCTGAATAAGAGAACTGACATGAGTAGTCCCATTTAATTTCAAATAGAAAGACTCATAAGTAAAGTTATGTGTGCGAATAAGCTTACTCAATTGACCTGATTATATAAGTAAAGTTAGAATAGTGTGCGTGTGTGTGGTGGGGGGGACAGGGGACGGGATAGCATGAATGCAGACTTCTAGAAATCAAAATAAACAAGGCTTTTAAAATTTCCTTTTCTGTGCTTTAGTCTTAGGATACATATTACATCCACTATATAAAAATAAACGCAAGTCTGGATATCAAAACCACTTTTTTCTACAGCGTATAAGAAAAATAGGAAGATATAGCTCCTCACCTGCGTGGCCTAGTTCTTGGGGACATCATTTCATTACCAAGTATATGGTATCTCCTTGCTTCGTGCAGCAGCTGATAACACTCTGGAGAATTCTGAATCAGTTGGTCTACTTCCACTGTCTGAACAAAGTAGTTAGGGTGTAATAAAGGGAGTCTCACATGTGTCAGAAGTTCATGTAACACTGGCCTTCGCAGCTCAACTGCACGGTAAACCCAGCGCATGACTGCTTCAAATACCATCTCTTCTTTACCGATCACCAGTTCATCACTGCAAATGTAGTCAATAAGCTCATCTTTCCCAAGCTCAAGAAATTCTTCATGCTGAGACACATCCTCAAATGTCTGCAGTGCAAAGGTCCTGCATTTGGTAAACAGTGTCTTGAGTGAGTGCGTATCAGCAAACCGCTGGATTCCCAGGCAGTTACAAGGGTCCAGCTGCTCCTCCAGAAACTTGGCACAGGCATCACGCAGAACACTAATCTGAAAGAGACTTGATGTTTCAAAGAGGTACTGCACATTTTCTGTAGTGATTTTCACCTTTCCAGTGTACACATATTGCAGAAAGCAATCCATTGCTTCAGCAAAAATGCCATTGATCTCAACCAACATCTCTCTGCTTTCCCTATGATCATTGCAAAACATAGCTCTGAAGTAGCTACTGCAGGCTGAAAGAACAGCTCGATGGCAGGGAAACTCTCTCCCTTCCACACAGATAATCACATCTGTGAACAAGCGGTTGTCACGAAACTCATTGAAGATCTGGAGTATGCCTTCAGCATGGGACGATCCTGAAGAGAAGTCAAAGAACTCAGGGCCCGATAAGGACTTGGGGTCCATTTCAAAAACTTTCCGCTTGGATGCAGGGGAATCACGGATCCCACTATCCTCTCTATTCAGTCTGCGTCCCAGTATTAGTACCATTGTTACATCAATTGGTTATAGAATCATTGAGAAAAGATCACTGAGTATCTTCTTTGCAGTGCTAAAGCTAGAAGAATTAAAACATTTCAGTATGCAACAGCTTACATTTGTTAAGATTTTTTCCTTTTGATATGTTTTATCACCATTGCCCAATCATTCTAAAAATTTGTGTAAATTAACTATAAGTGTTTTCTAGAGGAAAACAGCATATTATTTGCATACAGGGTGTTACATTTTGCAGTGCAGCAGAATACCCTAACACAGATCACCACCTCTGTGCAATGGGCTGAAGTCAGGCAAAAGTTAGTTACTAAAAAGTACCTCCCTGCTCTAAACTGGTTCAGAAAGGAACAGCCTCTGGTAGGTAACAACCTACTACTTTCTGAGATACTAACATTGTTGCATTGGACAAAGCTCTTGCATATGAAAGGCTGTGCCTCTTTGAACCAGTTAGTTTCACGTGCATGTCTACACGTGCATTAACGTGCATCAGTTAATGCACATTAAATCTAGTACTTCTGGGCAATTTTACACATGCTCCGAGGGTGTGGGAGAGCTGCTCTAATTAAAGCGCCACCATGTCTCCATCAGTGTTTTCATGCTTGAAAGTGGTGGTGAGGGCACTTGAACTAAAACTTGTTTCTAGGGAGACACTGGAGGCTGCTGGAGCGCAGCGATTGCCACGTTCCAGCAGACTCAATTAAACGGAGTCTGCTCTGATGTGCTGGAATTCCAACGTGTCAGAGCAGCCTCTACACTTGTGTACAGGCATCCTCCATTGTGAGGTATTAGGAAAATGTGCATTAACTAAAGAGCACAGTTTTAGTGATGCTTTAATGCACATTAAAATAAGCTAATGCACTTTAAATCACACATGTAAATGCATCCTTAGGTGCCACCCTACCCTACCACCTTCTACATAATGCATATACCCATGGGAAGAGTTAAAGATGCGGAGCAGAACAATATTGCATATCCAGACCTTTAATCAAATAGCACCTTTATTACTGTATTAACACAATGGTGATATCAACTGGAATTTCCCTGAATAAAGATGCCAAATTTTTATCCATTAGTCTTTTCCAATTTAACTGCCTCTTACTGCTGCTTTTGGAATACCAAGAAAGTGCAACGTACAACTAATTCAAAGTTAAAGACGACACTGAAATTTTAAATAAAGTTTAAATTAAAACAGCATATAGAACACTAATATGCAAATACATTTTTGCAAAAATAGTTAAATGTAATGCGAGAGTCTGACATAGGTATTGCAGAAATAAAGCACCAAACACAGGATTATCCTTATTTGTGAGAACTCCATTAACCAAATAGATGCTAATAATTTGTATCTAGAAGCAAATCACGGGCTAGAAGAGAATTTCCCTTTTCCAACAGCAATTATCTTCCATCTGTAACTTATAAACAAAGATTACAGCCAATCTCTACTTGTTATCTATTACATACAAAAATATTCTTTTAACATTCAGAAGTTAGAAAATGCCAGAATTAAAGGTTGCCCATGAACAAAATGCTACTAGTTTTGCATGCCATACTCTACTGACATGCAAAATTAGTACTATTTTGTAAAATAAAAGGCCTTTAGGCACAGTTCAGTTTCACACTTCCGTTGACTCCTAAACTTAATCATATGTTGAATTAAAACCGTAGAAAAATATCACGAGGCAGCATTCCTGCGCTGGTAACAACAACAAAAATATATAAATAGATCTAATATATGTAATTCTAAATGTTTAAATATAATCTTAAGAGTTTAGAAAGTGTGCTGAATTTAAATTTTAAACAACCTGTGCAAAAGATTTTTTCCCAAAAAACTTTCTGAGAGGGAGAAAGTTTTGTCTCATTCTCCACCTACAGATTCAGTAAATGTTATTTCAAACAGCCATTTTATTTCCTGACTAGCCAGAACCTTCAGGGCTGCATATTACCAGACCAATGTCTGGCTACATCATTGCTTAATATAGAACATAATGAACCACACTTTTTTAAACAAAGCTTTATAAAGCACCATCTTGACAAACCACAGAACCAAAAAGACTGTACTGTATAGGTTTCCTCACTCAGCAAAAAGAAAAAAAAAAGCATTTAAAAACCACTTCCATCATACTCCTACTTCATTATATAGAGTAACTCAATTTTCCTGCACAATTTAATGAAATCCTTTATAAGTTATATGAGGTACAGGATTACTTTTAAATAGCTCATATCAAAATCACAAAATACTCTTTTTTTTTTCCCCCTTAAATTTGGGCTTAAACACAGACCACCTCTTCAGTTACTGCCTGCAGAATAGCATTGCATTGAATATAATATTTTAACTAAAACATGCCTAAAGCAACCAGCTAGTATGGGGTCACTGAATATTCTATTTTATACCTTTATAGTCCATCTAATTTATTTTGCAATAATTTTACTCTGTAGTAGTAACTCCTGACCTTATAAACACACACACGTATAGACAGATGTGTGTTATAAATAAATGAAAAAAATGAATGAATGAATAAATAAGCTAGATTCACCAGTTCTACTCCTACTGTCACTAACACTGAGCTCTACTCAGCAAAGTCCTGTACTATTCAGCATGAGAAACCAAGGCAGAACAGGTGCTTACATCAAACATAAAAAGGGAAATGCAAGTGTTAATATACAAATATAAACCCTAATGACCTAATTCTGAGCTCACCAGTGTAACTAAGAATAATTTCACCAAGGTTAGTGAAGTTAAACCAACATGAACTAGCATGAAATCAGATTACCTTAGGGTACAGCATGACACGTCAAAACCATACTCACCTTACTACGCTTAACTGTCTTATTAGCTTCCATGGAATTATTCATAAAAGTAAAACAAGAATTACGGTCATCATTATTTGATAATTATAAGCTTAAAAAATGTAATATATAGTGCAATTAATACTATCATACTTATTACTCGTTGAAATCAAAATGCCCTCAAACTGCATATACAGACTACCTGCTTTTGAGATGAACATATACAAGGATACCCACAAAAATCAGCAGTCAAGTAGTAAAATAATAGTAATTTATACATCTTCATCAAATGTTTATGTAACACTGTTGTGTTGTCCTCATACCCATGACAGTGCAAGGGCATAAGAAAAAGATTTGAAGTGAGGTAATAATCTTTTATTGAAGTAACTGGTGTCATTAGGAGAGAAAGAGAAACCCAGCTTTTTTGGCTTCAAGAGACATTCATCAGGACTGGAAAAGCAGCAGTCACAGTCTAACCTGCAAAGATTGAATCAATTCAGACTTCGGCTTTTTGAATGTCTGTACTAAGGAGGCAAGTGGAAAAATCTACCAAAGGGCAGAATTTCTTGTACAGAGTAGCACTAGTCAGAGTGGCCCATACATCTCTAAACTGACATTACAGAATAGACAATTTGGCCAGAGCCCTTACTTACATGAACAGTACCACTGAAGTTACTGGACTCCTTGCATAACAGCTGACAAAACATGGCCCTAAAATCGGCACAAAGTAGATTTGCTGATTTAGTAAATGAACAACAAAAAGATCTTAGTTCTCTATTTACAAGTCTTGAAATCCTTTTGTAAAATTTAATGCCCCTGATCCTGCAACAAATCATGTGTAGCAGACCTCTGAACTAGACAAAACTCACAGGTAGAAAAACGGCTCTTGCATTTTCCTGAAGTCTGCACTGTCTATGCTACAGCAATGCTTCCCAAACTGTCGATGCCTGGGTCACACTTTTTTTTCTGGATTAAATTTAGCAGCATTCTTCACTATTACACCCAAAAGGGGGCAGGGGGTGGAAGGGGTGCATCTCCATATGTTAGTCTGTGTGTGTATATATTTTGCATGGATTTATTCTATGGTGCCTAAGCTTTTGGCCCCAGGGGCCAGAGGAGCAGTTTCAGGTTGGTCCACAGACCGGATCCAGTCCATGGACCTAATCCTGCCATGCAGAGTCAACCCAGCCAGGGCTTGACCCTTCCACACAGGGCTTGGAAATTTGGTGAATGAGTAGCAGGGACAGCATTAATTGCCACCGGTCCCCCACTGCCAATTTTCCAGATCTGTGGGGAGCTCTGCAGACCAGATCTGATACTAGTTAAAGTATAATATTTCACGGCACATTTCTGCTGCTCCCATGGCATGCTAATGTGCCACAGCACACCTTTTGATAATCACTGACCTATAGGCTTTTGCACACTATAGAAGTTTTGCCAGTATACTTAAACCAGCAAACCAAGAGTGCAGATGCAACTTATGCTAGCACAAAAGCCTGTATTCATTCTCTAAGAAAAATTAGTTACATGCCAATACAACTGTATATAAATTTGCGCTTTTGTAAATAAAGAAATGTTATTAAAAAGAATTCACACTTAATGACACCACTATATAGAAGTTTCCATCACAGTGACCTAAGCCTCATCTTCACGGGGGAAGGGGTAGAGAGACAGTGTCTTTAAGAACATTCATCAGCACGTAGTAAATAAAGCACATGCACAGAGGTGTGCCCACACCCTCCCCCTCTCCATACCGTTTTTCCTTGTGGGATACATCAGAGCTCTGGAATATATCACCAAGTGTGTACTGACCTTCTAACACAGGGTTGGGTAATTATTTGGGCCAGAGGGCCACTTAGGGAGAGGGCCATACCAGGGTGTTTTGGCGAGTTGTTGTGGGCTGGGTCAGTGCTCCCCTCGGCCCCACCCCACCAACACTCCTTTAGTGGCTCTGCCTCACAGCCAGGCACTGCGCTCTCACCTTCCAAGGATCTCAGCCCTGGGGGCTCCATGGAGACTGGCCTAGGACCCATGCAGGCAGGTCATACTGGGATGGACAGATGGGATGGGGCCACAGGTTGGCGGGGAGCAACATCTGGGAGTAAGGTGGGTGGGCAGGGCTGGGATCACAGGGTGGTGACAATGTGGTGCCAGAGTCTGGGGCAGACCTGCGATCTGCTCCTGGCACATTCCTACCTAAAGAACCAGCACCTGTCACAGAGACATGCAGCAGATTGTGGCTCTGCCTGTCACCACTCTGTGATCCCGGCCCCAGCCCTGGCCCCACTCATCTCCCCTGCTCCCAGACACTCCTCCCTGCCCACTCACAGCCTCATCCCACCACCCAGCTTGCGTAGGCCCTGGGTTGGTCTCCACGAAGACCCCATCGGCCCACTCTATCTAGGGCTCCAAGGAGGCATACAGGGTGAATAGGCCAGGGTGCCCAGTTCCAGAAGTGGAGACTGGCAGTGGCAGCTGGAAGGAGCTGGAAATCAAGTCCAGCCACCTTGCCTCCCCATCAGCAGGCGCACACACCACAGCTCAGGCTGCCCTGCCAAAGGACCCACCACAGGCCGGATAAAACCCCTTGGTGAACCAGATGTGGCCCTCAGTCCTAACACCACACCTTAAGACATGCTCTATGGCAGGGGTAGGCAAAGTTTTTTGGCCAGAGTGCTGAAAAAAACCACAATGTCTACCTTGTAAGGTGCCAGAGGTGGTGCTGAACACCCCCGCCCACCACAGCTTGAGCCCACAGAGCCCTGGGGCCGCCCCCACTTCCTGCCCAGCCCCCGCCCTCCTAAGGGCCCAACCAGGCTGGCCTGCCCACAGCACCTCCCCCCACGCTGCCCAGACCCTGCCCCGACTGCCCACCCCCAGCATTCGGCACCTCAGTGCTGCCCTGGGTGGGACAGGGTATCTGCCTACCTGGGCCCAGGGCTCTGCCATCCACTGGAAACCTCCTGGGCAGCGACCCTGCACAGTACGTGCCCCGGCTCCAGCCCTGTTCATCCGTGGCTCCCTCCGGGGGCCAGCCGGGCTGCAGTGCACAGCCTGGGAGCAAGGGGCGGGGGCAGTAGAACACAGACAACATCCCTGCCCATGTTCTTCTGGCTCCGCCACGGTTCCTGCCATGGCACTGGGACTTGTGGCTGCACGGGAGAGCCCAGAGCAGCAACTTAAAAAAAAAAAAATTAAACAATTTCTTTGCGTGCCAGGAAAAATGTCTCCACGTGCCACTGATGGTACGTGTGCTGGGGGTTGCCGACCCCTGCTCTATGGTTACACAGCAGCAGAACATTGTTATCTTGATCAGGCTTCTACTGTAACACAGAAAAATAAAGGCCAGAACAACTCAGTATGTTTACCTACTAAATATAAACTTATTCTGCGTATGATTAATCTTTTTATTGGCAATTTGAACGTGCATATCCAGCAACTGTGGTCTCTCACGTGTGATTAGTCATCCTATGATTAGCAACTGGCAATACTTGTTTCTTCTAGTCTAACTTTCTGGTCAGGGCAGGATTGTTTCTCACAATTAAGATGCCTAGAAAGGAGGGAAAATAGGTTTGTCTCCCCAACTTTTTTGATATAACTTAAGTCACTAAATACAAAACAAGACGTGTGCTTTTTAAAGCATTTTCTTTTTCAGCTCATTATTTTACATGCTCTTGAAGCCCTTAAGGTAGCTAAAGAACTAGTGAGATGCTGACATCCTACAGATGGGGAAGTGACAGGAACAGATTTATTTTGAGTATATTAAATATTTTGGTTATATTTTATCTTATCTTAAGTGATTAATATTTTGTTTAAAGGATACCTTTGTTAAAGATTCAACAACCAATCAAGATGAGAGCATACATCATAAATATCCTTGAAATGTAGTATTCCAGCAAAACAAGAAATAACTAGACTATGACTTGACAAACAGAAAATAAAACACCACATGCAAACAAGATCTATTAGATGACCTTTTAGCATAAGAAAGGCAAAGAATGGCAGATATACATTTTTTTTTAAATTGGGTCTGTCACCATTAAAACTATCCAAAGCGAACCTTAGAAACTACTTAGGTTCCCTTCCACAATGTCATGTTAGTATTGCTAATGCATTTCTTATAAGCATTGTAGATTCACTAAATTGACCTGAAAACTTACTAGGTTTACCAGTGACCTATTATAAAACTTTCCAAAGCAAAACATACTAACCAAGTCACTTGCAATATTCAATCCACTCCCAGTGCTTCAGCTAAATGGGATTTCCTTATGTCAATTTTAATATCAGTTGACAAGTGTTGAGTGTGCAACAATGACTGAGTTTAAGCATATGTTTATACACTTCAATATTTCCTTTGTTACTAAGAATTCCATAAAAACAAGGAAGTAGAAAAAAAAAAAGACAAAATACCACATTAAGGTTGTAAGAACAACAGAAAAAAGCCAGGAAACTTAAGGTTCATATTTGTCTTTAGCCTGCACTGTTGACTTTTCCTGTTTACAGTGACTTGCATCACACATGGATTCGGACAAATCCAAGTTACAGGCTTTTGTTTGATTGCATCACAGCCTTAAGGTTATTTAAATATAGATTTTTGCATATGTTACAACAGGTGCTGGTTGATCAGGTACCATCAGGAGAATTCCATATATACATTTTGAGCCTAGAGGGCCAATTGCATATTAGCAGAATCCTGATCTAAAAGGTTTCAACCTGGCCTACACCCTTTCCCCCCCATATTCACACAAAGGAATAAAACCTCAAAAGGTTAGGTACTACAAAAGGCTGCAGCATACAACTTAATTCTGTTGCTCTTACTCAGAGAAAGGTCCTAGTGAGGTCAATGGAAATCTTGCCTATGTGAGAAATTGTGGTTTCAAGTCACTTGGCAATATTCCCAGGCTGAAGCAATACACCCCTAGCTTGTTTACTCTATGTACTATAAAAGTAGTCACCATTATGCCCCTCAGTGTGTAATCTACCAGCAAGGCTCTAGATTATTTGAAATTAAAGTGATCAAAATTTACAATTAACATATGCTATTTTTAACTACAGCTATATTTGTTATCTAGGATTATCAGTGCAGTACACAGAAATTATTCTGTGCTCTTCAAAGCTTTTCCAATTATTTCGTTCCAATATTCATTTACACCAGAAAACAAAAACATGCCCTTTTTCACCAGGGTGGGTAAGCTCGGAAATTCATCTCCGATTTAGATAGTCTATAACAGGGGCAGGAAATTATTTCGGCTGGAGGGCTGCTTCATGAGTTTGGTGAGCCATTAAGGGCCACAAGGGTGGCCCTGCCACTTGACAAGCACCCTGCCCCCTGGTCACCATTTTGGGACCAGAAGTCCTGCCCCCAACCCCTGACCTTTGCCACTGAAAGTAGCTCCCTTTGTCCCCAGAAGTACTCCTTTTGGGAAGGGGGTCTGCCATCTTGGAACCAGAACTCCCCCCCCCCCCCCAAATATACAAAAAAAAATCCACAATAACATATATTTTAATTGTCCCGATTTGTGTGCATTTGCACTGTGCATACAGAGGTGATTGCATAATAGCTCAAAATGAAATCTTACTCTTGTATGTTGTGGGAGATAGGTACAGGTTTGTGGGTGGGTGCAGTGTTTGTGGGGTTTTTATATGTGGGGGAAGGTGTGGCAGGGTATGTATGGGAGCCCCCTGTATGCACCCCCCTAAGCTGGTCAGCACGCACCCCACAACAGGGGTAACATGTTTTCTACAGACCACAGGTAGGGAACCATACTTGGACAGCAACAGTAGATTCCAGGCATTAGAGGTAGGCTAGGAAAAACACAGTTAAAAGCCTATTGGCTGCATCCAGACGAGTGGCTGTGCAGTATATGGTGCTGCAGACATGTCAACAGCACCATTTACCACACCTTCAGCTTCTCTCTGTGCTGCAAGGGAGCAGCGCAGGGGCGCAGAGCAGACGCAGGGCAGCCCGGTGTGGCGCAGACCCCAGGTGGCTGCAGCGAGAACTGCCCCATGGAGGGGGAGGAGCTGCTTTCCTCCCACGCCAAGCAACAGTTTCCAAGCAACAGTTTCCGCTTGGTGCTGCTGCTGCTCAGCCTGGACAGAGAAGGCACAGCGAGGCCTGGGTCAGGGCTGTGCGGCACAGGTCCCCACTGCTACCACAGGGCTGGGAGCAGCAGCAGTGGCAACTGGAAGAAGCCATCGCCATCTGAGCTGCCTAGAAAGGCAGTCCAGCTGTGGAGCCGCCCCAGCCCCACTCTGTGCCTGGGGGGCGGCAGGACACCATGGCCAGGTGGGACCAAGGGGCCTGCCATAATCTGGACAAACCCCACCTGTGGGCTGGATCCAATCTGTATTTTGCCCACTCCTGGTCTACAAGGTGCAAGTCTGTGGCACCTTCTGCCAGACTTCAGGATAACGGGGCTAAGGACCTCTCTAGGCTATGAAGGACCACCAGAGACCTGACCCGGCCAATGCAGGGTGAGGACTGAGCTGTACTTTCACAGGCGCCTGCCTGGGATTCCCTGAAACCAGCTAAGCAAAAACCAGGTGAAGCACGGAAGGACCTCAACCAGGTCTCCAGCTGCTTTAGAAAGTCTCTCTCGTGAGGACAGCTCCTCAGGCTTGGGCAAGACCAGTCTGGGCCCCGGCTGGAGCCAAGCGACAGGACACCGCACCTCCCGGGGTGTCACAGCACACCAAGCGCCCTAGACAGCCCGCATCTGCGGGGCGCCCCCCTCAACCCCGCCCACGTCCAGGGGCGCCTGCACAGGCCCTCCCCCCGCGGCAGCAGGCCGCAGACACAAAGAGCGAGCGGGAGTGCGCATGCGCACCCAGCCCACGGCCCCAGCTCGGCATTAACAGACACGGCCGCCCCGGGCGCATGCGCGCGTCCTCCAGCTCACCTTCACCCGGGGCAGCCCCAGCCGCGCCCCCTCCCCCTCGGCACATCTCGTCCAATCAGCGAGGAGAACACGCGGCCCAAGTCCCGCCCATCCGCGCGCTCGGAGCCAATCGCCACGGAGGCAGCCCCCGCCCCTAAACATTGTTGTCAGGCCGGGGCAGCGAGGAAGGACTGGACCAGTTACGAAATGCCGGGGGGGTGGGGTCCGGGACTATCGGTGCCCCCCCGCAGCGGCTTGGTGCGGCCCGAGCAGGGGTCGGCGGGGACCGTCACTGCCCCGCGCCTTTCTCCCCACCAACACACACACCACGGGGGGCAGCCGGCAGGTCCGTGACGCCGCGAGTCCAGGGCCCAGGACACCGGCTGCCAGCCGCGCCGCTCGCTGCAGGCACACGGAGCCCCGGGCTCCTCCGGCGCCGGTAGCGGCGCGCCCCGCACAGCCCGGCGGAACGGAGCCGCAGAAAGGAGACCTCCGGCCGCAGCGCTCTGCAGGAAGGTGGTCTGGCCCGGCGCGCACTTACCTACCCCTATCCCCACGCTCACCGCTCCTGCGCGACTCGCAACAAAGGAACCCCCCGAGCAACATGTGACCTGCTCGAGCCAAAACACGTGACGTCACGGAGCCGCCAGCCAATGAGCGCCGGCTTTGCGCGTGCGCCTGGGAGCTATAGTTGCTGGGGGCCTAGTGGGGGGGGGGAGTCGTTGTGCGACGTCATCGCCGACCGGCCGAGCGGCGTGGCTCTGGTTGCTCCGCTCGCGCCGCCCCTGATGGGAAAGGGTGGGCAGATGCCCCTAGCCCCACTGCAGAGGAGGGGCCGCCACAGGCGGCCGCATCACGCCCGGGGCCCGGAAGCGCTAGTAGGAACCAACAGCTGGAGGGGGCCGTTGTTTCTCTGTAAGGCTTGGGGAGGCAGGGGCCCATCCAGTTTTCCAAGGGCGGCCGCCGTGCGAGGTGCTACATCTAACACAATACCGATTTTCCTCCAGTTAAAGCGAAACGAGAAGCTTTACCAATGAGCCAGGGGCCTAGGGCTGGATGACTCTAAGATAGAAGCTGAAACATGTCTATCTTCACTGCAGTGAGTTGAAAGAAACAGTCTGTGGCATGAATGACAGGTGCCCCCTGAGGCTGGCGGGGCACGGCGACCACGCACAAACGTGGAGAAATCATTGAGGATACATAAGCCAAGTAAAACAATGGAAAGACCATTTCAAAGAGCTGTACAATGTGTAAAATGTAGCTGGTGAGGTCTCAGTACAAAAGAAAGCAGACACCATTCTTAGACAAGGAAGTAAAGATATCAAAGAAAGCTTTAAAAATGGTGCTGGAAAATGACAATGCAACTGCAGAGCTGCTGTGAACAGATGAGGGATGTGACAAAGTCAATTCAGATGCTGTTCATCAATATTTACAAACAAAGAGCAAGCACAGAGTGAATAGAAGAAAGCAATAATAGCTCTGATCCATACAACATGAAATTAGGGGACCGAACAAACTATAGAGGAATGAACTTTTTGAGAGCATTCAATAGGACACTTCAGAGGCAAATAAAAAGATGTGCAATGGCAGTGATAGAAGAATAGGCTGGATTTAGACTTGGATGAAGCGTACATCTGCAACTCCACTCCTACCCTTTGGTGACAGTGTCTCCCTTAACAGCTGTGAAAATACACCAGTATGAGGCAACCATTGTGCATCTGTCTGTCTTTGCCATTCAGTTCCTCTGTCTTCCATTCAGGAATTCCAAATACGCACTTCACTTTCATTTTGCCACTACTTAGGGTATAGTTGAACAAGTACTTTCTCCCATCCAAGTGACCAGTAAGTGGCTTTAAAGTTAGGGAAGGAAGAGGATAAACTAGGTTTTCTAGAATGACGAGGAGTCTCCCCAAGTTCGACTTCAAATTTGAGAATTCTGATATCCGACAATGAACTGTGAGAAAACTCTTACAGTGCATACGGCCCAGCAGTAGGACAAAGAACTCTGGGATATCCACCCAGAGTGCTGCATGCTTATTATGAAACGAGTGACTGCCATGTAGATGCATTGATATGGAGGGAACTAAGCCATAACTGGCTATTTGGAGGCACTTATTTTAGAATACTTATTCCACAGCAGTTTGTATGCAAAGATTTAAGTCAGACTAACCCCTCGCCTTAGATAAATAACCCCTTCCAGCAATTCCTTTGCTGAATCAGGGCCTTAACCCAGGTGATTCCTGGATCTGAAATGGATCTAAAATATTTCAAAGGGAAACAGCACTTTATTTCACTAACGAAAGTGCTGAACTTCCTTCAGAGCAAAGTGCCAGACCCTAGTCATTTCTGGTCATTGCTCCTGAATAAAGCCTCGTAATATGAAGAAAAGAAAGAAAATGGAAGCTAGGCTGATCCTAGAAAAACACATTCAATGAAGGTGGGAATTTTGTGGGCTCAAAAGCTGTAACTAAGTCACTGCACGTTGCCCATAATACAAATAACATAGTGGAATTTTTTACTCTGGTTTTACTCTTTCTTATTTCTTCAATTAAAAAACAACCTCGGGCAAAAAACCTGGTAAAGTGAGGATTAAGAAATGCTGCTTTGTATCTAAAACTGTAAGACATGGGGTTTTTTTGTAATATAAATCTCATAGATATTTTGTTAGATCTTTCAAAAGAGATGGATGGCACAAAATGCCATCATGACAAAAGGACTTAGCCTTTTTATCATGTTTTATATATGGAGAAAAAAAAGAATTTTTAGCAGTTTTAAAAGGAGAGGGGAAGTGAAATGAGGAACAGGTCATTGTTGCAGACAGGAAGCAATAGAAAGGCAAATACATGGCTTGGCTATATTTCATTTATTTAGATCCTTTCTATGTGTTTGTTGTGTACAGAAAATATTTTTCTAACAAAATGATAACAGAATTTTAATAATATCTGTCTCTTTCCAGATGGTGAAGGGTGGGAATGTGTGATAAGCTGAGGCTTTTTAGTTTCTCTTGACAGGTAAGTATCAAGGAAATAGAACTTCCTCTAGAAAATGTAATGTAAACAAATGTAAACACAATGTTAAAAAAATAAAACAAGAAAAAAACACCTTTCTACTTTTTAGTGGGGGAAATATACTGGTTTGACTTTTTAGATCAACTTAGGTTGGAAGCAGCATTTTTATCAGCATTTTTAATCATAGAATCAATGAGTCGGAAGGGACCTAGACAGATCATTGAGTCCGACCTCCTGCCATGGGCAGGAAGGAGCACTGGGGGTAGCAGGGGTCATAAAACCCCAGCCAGGTGCCTATCCAGTCTCCTCTTGAAGATTTCCAGAGAAGGTGAGAGCCCCACCTCTCTGGGAAACCTATTCCAGGCTCTGGCCACCCTTAC